CGGCAGGCATGCAGGCTGGCTGGCTGTCATGTCAGTTGTCTCAATAACATGCAACAACTACATGTATAGATAGGTGGGTATTATGGATGGCGCGGCAACATTTGATGGCTTTAAGAGAATTTTTAGCGCCAAAAATGTGTTGAACTTTTTGCACGTTTCTGTTTTTTTGCAGGAAAAAATTCAAATCTCCAAAAAAGGAACCTTTGCAAAATAATCAAAAATTATTTGGAAATAAAATATTAAGGGTTAAATGATTTTTTTTAAATTTTTTATATTTTTTTTTTTTTTAAGAAAAAAATTTAAATTCAATTCTTCAAAACCCGTTTCTTTTTTAATTTCTTTCTTCAGACTTATTGGAAATTTATTTAAAATAAAATAGCAAGGCGTTGGAATATTCACCCACATTTTTATTGTTGTTGTTGTTTTTTTTTTTTTTTTTAATTTTTTTCAGAATTCACATTTGATGGCTTTAAGAGAATTGTTAGCGCCAAAAATGGATTTCACATTTCGCAGGTTTTTTTTATAGAAAAGAATTCAATTTTAAAATCAAATCTTAAAAAATCCGTCGCAAAAAAATTGTTTGAAAGTAAAATTTCAAGGGTTTAATGATTTTTTATTTTTTAATTTTTTCTTGTTTTTTTTTTTAAAGAAAAAAATTTAAATTTAAATTCAAATTTTCAAAAACCGTTTTTTTTTTTAATTATTTTTCTGACTTCTTTTAAAAATCAAAATTGGAAGGTGTTGCATTATTTACCCACATTTTTGTTGTTGTTATTTTTGTTTTTATTTTTTTTTTCTTCAGAATTCGCATTTAATGGCTTTAAGAGAATTTTTAGCGCCAAAATGTGTTTCACGTTTTGCACGTTTTATCTTGCTTTTTGCAGGAAAGAATTCAAATCTCCAAAAAAACCGTTGCAAAAAAATCAAAAATTATTGGGAAATAAAATTTCAAGGGTTTAATGTTTTTTTGATGTTTTTTTTAATTTCTTTATTTATTTTTTCTAAGAAAAAAATGTAAATTTAAAAAACCTTTTTTTTTAATTTTTCCTTCTGACATTTTGGAAATTTGTTTAAAAAATAAAATTGCAAGGCGTTGCATTATTTACCCACATTTTATTGTTGTTGTTGTTTTTTGTTTATTTTTTCTTCAGAATTCACATTTGATGGCTTTAAAGAATTTTTAGCGCCAAATATGGATTTAACTTTTTATTATTTTTTTTTAGTTTTGTAGAAAAGAATTCAATTATAAAATCAAATCTTAAACAATCCGTTGCAAAAACTAAAAATTATTTGAAAATAAAAATTAGAATTTATTTTTTTAATTTTTATACATATTTTTTTAAAAAAAAAATTCAAATTTAAATTCAAATCTTCAAAAACCGTTAAAAATTAGTTTTTTTTGCTTCTATTTTTTATTTCGAAATTTACTTGAAAAATCAAAATTGCAAGGTGTTGCATTATTTACCCACATTTTTATTGTTGTTGTTGTTGTTTTTTTTTTTTATTTATTTTTTTTAGAATTCACTTTAATTGAATTGTTGTTGTTGATAACGTCCAAAATGACGCATCGCTTCTTCAATTTTGTTGGTTTTTATTTTTGTAACGTCAATTTTTTTGCTTTGAATATTTCCTTTAAAGAGAACACCAAAAAAATATTCACTTGATTTTATTTTTGGTTTATTTAAATTTTTATTTTATTTTTATTTTTTTATTTTTGGTAACTTGTTTTTCACGAGACAGTCGCGTGCTTAAAATTTTTCAAATTTCCCGCCACCGCCTGCGTTGTCGTCACCATTCGTCCGTCAAGCGTTCACTTGAAATGCAAATTTCTTTTTTTTTCTTTTTGTTAATTTTATTTTCGCGCTCAAATTTTTATTTTTCGCTAATTTATTTTTTTTCTTATTTTGATTTTATTTTTTGCGAGTGATTTTCTTGGTTTTGTTTTGATTGTAAAACGACCGTCCGTCTGTCTGACCGACCGACCGAACGACAACAAACACCGTAAAACACTACCAAACCTTATGAAATCGATTTGTAACTGAAATGCTGCTGCTCGCTATTGAAATGAAATTTCTCAAACGACGACGACGACGGCGACAACAACGACGCCGACATCATCGTCATTGCTGTCGTCGTCGTCGTCATTGCCTCGGCCCCAAACGAATGTTGTTTACTCTGTTGCTGTTGTATTCATTGCTTGGGTTGGTGTGCTGCTGTGTGGTGGTGTGGCTGTGTGTGCTCCCAACACAAAATGTTGCTGGTTTGGCTACTCTGCTTTGGGTCTCAGTCACAGCAGCAGCTGCTGTTGTTTTGATTGTGGGGTGGAGTAGTACTCTCTAGTGAGTGTCTTACTAACTGCCCCGACTGTGTGACTGTCACACAGTCACACCGACGACGACGACCAACGATGGGTTTCGTTCTGTCGTCAACAATCAATGTGCTGTTGTTGTTGTTATTTCGTTTCGTATTTTGTTATTTTTTTTTGTTTTGGTTGGGGATGACGATGTTGATTATTTTGTTGTGCAAGGATGGATGGCTGGCTGGTTGGTTGGAGTGCACACACAACATCATTATGATCTTCGTCGTTGTTGTTGTTCGTCCAAAATGAAGATGTTTATGTTTTTCGCAATGCTGTTACTGTTTTGCTGTTGTTGTCGTTGCTGCTGCTGCTGCCGCTGGAGTGTTTTGAAAGCATTTCTTCAAAACATTTGGCGTAAACATCCACCAGCAGTGCAAAAAACGGGAAAAATAGTCAAACAAACAAAAGTGTCCAACATAATTGGAGAGATAAGTTTTTGTCTCAAAATATATTTTTTTTAATTTTCAAAACACGAGATAATAATTTGAGTTTTTTAAATTTGAAACATAGGTAGCATGACTTGCAATATTTCACCTGAAATAGTGGAAAGAGAACCCAAATATTTTAGACTTTAGTTCTTATGGCTATGGAGTACCTGAATCATTTTCAGTTTCCATAGATGTGTGGATTAAGTTCTCTGCAGGAAGTCTGGAGTTGAGTTAACCATATTAGGCGCACAATATTATCGCATGTGACCACTTTTGGCATTTAGACGTCGTATCGTTAATCGGAAGTTTTCTCTTAGCTAGAACTTTATTCCTATCGTGAGGACCAAAGTGAGCATCTAGAGCTTCTTATGTATCTAAATTTGTTGATGTTGTCTAAATACTATTCAAACTGGTTAGTTTGTCAGTGCCGAGCCATCTCGTTGGAGTTGGATCGACCCCGTGACCCGATGTATTTATACCCTACACCACAATGTGTTCAGGATATTATGTCTTTGTGCATTTGTTTGTAACAGGCAGAAGAAAACGAGATAGACCCCTACTAGCTTTTTATGATCTGCATAAAATCGCATTCTGAGTCGATTTATGCAATACCGTCCGTCCGTCCTACTGTCAATGTGTTGTTGTAAACAAAGTACAGGTCGTATTTATTGACCGATCGAGATATAATTTTGCACAGATAATTTCTTTGGCCTAAGGTCGGCCCATATTGAAATTGGAGATAATCGGTTAAAATTTTGATATAGCTCCCATATATATCCTCGTCCGATTTGCCTTTTATTGTGCACCAAAGTAGATAGAATATGAGACCGGAAGTGGCAGGGTCAATAAAATTTTACGACTTTTTGCCTCGGTGCATTAACCCCCCCCCCCCCCCCCCCCCCCCAACCAAGCCATGTGTGTAAAGTTTTATGGCCATCATAAATTAGGTGTGCATTGATTTTTATTGGTTTTGCCTGTCCGTGTGGCGAAGTATGTCACCCTTTGCATTGTGTTATCTTCTATTTTGTATTGATTGTGGTCTATTTGAATTTGATGTGTGTCTCACCCTCATTCTTGGCACTTGTGTTTTTCCTCAAGATTGAATATGTCCGTCTGTGCGATCATGTGTGTTACACACAGTATTGTACTGATTATTGTTTGTATGTGCGGCAATGTTAACCTTTCCATTTGAATTTGATGTGTGTCTAACCCTGTCTTGACACTTGTGTTTTCCCCCCACCCCCCCTCAAGATCATATGGGTTACACACAGTTTGTGTATTGATTGTTGTTTGTATGTGTGGTAATGTTACCCTTCCCATAGTTTTCTTTTAGTTTAGTTATGATGCGTTTAGTTCAAATATGATGTGTCTATGTCGTGTGTTTGTCCCTAATTCTTCTCACTTGTGTTTTTCCTGAGGATTGAATGACCTTGGCGCCCTTTGTTTGCTGTTGCACATTTTGTTGCCTATATTAAGGCTTGGGCGTTGTTGTTGCATGAGTAAGAACACTTGTGCCCTTAGAAAGAAATTTGTCTAGAGTTGTTGTTTTTTCTAATTAGCGTAGACGTATACCTACAGTCGGGCGTATGCGTTTGATCCCTACATTCAGCCATCATCATCACTTGAGGGTAATAAAAAAATGTAATGAGACTCATATTTTGTTTTTGTTTTGGTTTTTTATGTTTGGGGTTTTTATTTCACATTGGAAATGTTTGAACCGTTGTATGTGTGTGTGTGTGTGTGTGTAATTGTGCGTTGTTTGGTTTTTTTTTTTTTTTTTTTTTTTTTTTTTTTTTTTTTTTTTTTTTTTTTTTTTTTGAGCCAACCCTCACTTGGCATCATCCCACTTGTGTCACTTGTGGCACATATCAAAAAGTTATATAAAAAAAGAAAAGAAAAAAAATTACTTGAAATTATTCGAAGTTACTACATTCAATTCATATGAGAAAACTGTTTGAATTTATGTTTGGTGACAAGATGTAACATTTTGAAAATTACAAGGGCAATCTGATCTTACGTGTACTTGTTGTATTTTGGAAGACCTAGGATGAAAAATGTTTTGAAAAATACATATGTATCTGTTAGTGGAGGTTTCTTAGGTTTTCTATAGAAATGGCCAGTGTTAATATAGGACTGAGTTTTTTAAAAAATAGGTTTAGTATAAAATAAGAAATTCAATCGCAAGCATCACCATCAAATTTTTCGAAATCAAAATGGCACAAAATATTTGCAATTTCTGCTCCGAAACGTTCACTGTTAAACGCGAATATTTGAGACACGTTAACAAGCATTGCAGCGGATGTGGACAGTTTTTTAGTAATACATATCAATTAAAATTTCATCAAAAGAATTATGGATGTCCACCTATGCAAAATCAACCATCTAATAACTCAAGATTAGACAATATAGAACATGCAAACTGCAATAGTGTTACCCTACCATTGATGCGGAATCAATTTATAATTGACCAAATCACAGGCAATGATCATAACATTCCATCCCAACAAAGTGAAGGCGGAAACAAGTTCTGCAATGAGTGCCATAAAGCAGTGCGAAATATGTCCGCTCATCTTCGTAGTGATGAACATCGGCGTGTAATTCGCCAAATTTTTGGTGAAAATATCAATATTGTCAAAAACTCATTTGGCAAAAATATACTAACCTTCGAGTATATTAATGCAAAAAACATTTTGCTGCCAAATGAATTATTAAGCGATGCCAAAGAAACGATTGTCAGCTTGGTCGAGAAGAACTTTACGAGAAATACGCCTATAAAATTCAATATTGAGCTTATAGGAGAATATGTCAAGCCCACAAGTCAACGTGATGAACCATCAACATCAAATATGGTTTTAAATACAAGTCAAAATATGTTTTGCCATATGTCAAAAATGTCGTTGATAACGGAAGGTGACAATATAAGCCAATTATTCCACGATCACGCGAATCGTATAATTAATAAAATGTCTGAATTTCAAGAAAGAGATTCTGGCTGGGCTTTAGAGAAAATCGTAAAGCTGAATATAAATATATATAAAGCTAATTTAACTCGTGGCTCCCAGTTCTTGAAGACACCGCTCTCTTTATCAAAAAAGAATGCCTGTCTTAACATTAGAAATTACGATGAATTTTGCTTCAAATGGTGTATTGTGGCAGCTTTATCGGAACCAGCAGCAGCATGTGATAAGTCTAATCCGCAATCATATAATATTAATATAACCGAAGAGATTATATACTTGCCATCCGGGGAGATATTGAATTTTAGAGGACTTAGTTTCCCTATGGCGATAAAAAATATCAAGGATTTTGAGGCCAATAATGAAGATATTAGTATTAATGTCTTCGGCTATGATGGAAATCAGATAGTTGGACCCTACTATCTTACCCCAAAACGAAGGAATCGTCATATTAACTTGATGCTTCTTCATGAGGGCGACAAGTTCCACTACATATTGATCATGGATATGTCACGGTAAGTTAAAATAGCATAGTAATATTACTATTAAATATGATAAATAATGAATATATCTATTGCTTTCTAGGTTATTACGTTCACAAATAACAGCACATAGAGGTAGATCAATCATTTGTGATGGCTGCATACAAAGTTTCACCACGGAAGCCGTATATGCAAAACATGAGAAGGAGTGTGTTGGGGTCGTAACAGAGATGCCGAAAGAAGGAGAAAACATTATTCGGTTTAAAAACTACCACAAAAAGGAGAGAGTTCCATTTGTGATCTATGCGGATGCTGAATGTATTCTAGAGGATTGGAACCCGGAGAACCTCAACACAAACACAAACACAGTAACGGTAAAAAGGCACATTCCTTGTGCATTTAGTTATTATATTAAATGTAGTTTTAATGATAGTTTAAGTAAATTTTATATATATAGTGGCCCCAATGCTGCGAGAAACTTTTTAGAAAATCTTATAGGGGATTGTAAATTTATTTACAACACATATTTGTCAAAAACGGTACCAATGATTTCTTTGTCTCAGACAGAATTAGATGATTTTAATAGCAGTACTGTGTGTCACATTTGTGAGAAAGAGCTAGGTAATGACCGAGTTAAGGATCATTGTCATTTAACTGGAAAATATCGAGGAGCTGCACACAATGAATGTAATTTGAAATACCATGTGTCAAAATTTGTGCCGATATTCTTCCACAATTTTTCTTCTTATGATTGCCATTTGTTCTTCAAAGAATTAATTCACTTTGATGGAGAAATTAAAGTAATTCCATTAAATAAAGAATTATATGTTTCAATGTCATATTTCACTAAAATGAACAACGATTCAAACGAAATGGTCGATCATAATTCTTCGGTGAATTCGAAAAACAAATGGCGGAATAAATTTGAACTGAGGTTCTTGGACAGTTTTCGTTTTATGTCTTCCAGTTTGGATAGTTTGGCTAAAAATCTACCTAAAAACGCATTTCAAGCTGTTCGTACACAGTTTCCAAATGATGCTGATTTCAATCTGCTAACTAGGAAAGGAGTTTTCCCTTATGAATACGTGTCTTCATTGGACAAATTATATGAAAGAAAATTGCCTAACCGAAATGAATTTTACAACAGGTTGACTGACAGTGAGTGTTCGTTAGATGATTATAGACATGCGCAGAATGTATGGAGGCACTTTGAATGCCAAACTGTCAAGGATTATATGGAGTTGTATTTAACAGCAGATGTCTTACTGTTGGCTGATGTGTTCGAAAACTTTCGAAGTTTATGCCTCCGTCACCATAGACTTGATCCTTGTCAGTATTTCACAGTACCATCACTATCTTGGGATGCCATGTTGCTGTGCACGGGTGTTGAATTAGAGCTATTTACAGATATTAACATGTATAATTTCTGTAAAAATGGCATTAGAGGTGGACTTACACAATGTTCAAATAGACACTCGGTAGCCAATAGTAAATACACTGAAGACTATGACCCTAGTAAACCCGAGGTAAATATTTATTATTTAGACGTCAACAATTTATATGGTAAAGCAATGACACAATGTTTGCCACAAAAAGATTTTAAGTTTTTAACTCAAGAAGAGTTGGAAATATTCAATGACGTCAGTAAAATATTAGCGATTCCACATGATTCACCAACTGGTTATTTTTTTAATGTGGATTTAGAATATCCAAAAAATCTGCATGACAAACACAATGATTTACCCTTTTGTCCTGAATCCAAATGTGTCGGTGGCTGTAAGATCAAAAAGTTGATTGCAGATTTGAATGACAAAACGTCTTATACAATTGATTATAGAGTGCTTCAACAATGTATCCAGCATAATTTAATTCTTAAAAAAATTAATAGCTGTTTACAGTTTACGCAATCTAATTGGCTTGCAGCATACATAATGAAAAATAACAATCTCAGAGCACAAGCCACAGATGCTTTCGCAAAAAATTTTTATAAATTTATGAATAATTCTGTTTATGGCAAAACAATGGAAAATGTGGACAAAAGGAAAATCGTGGAAATAAGAAACCATTGGGAATCTTATGGGAAGCGCTGGGGTGCACGGGAATTTATTTCAAAACCAAATTTTCATAGTCTTACACACTTTTCAGATGAAATGGTGGCAATTCAAATGAACAAAGTGAGGGTGAAGTATGATAAACCGATATACCTTGGATTTTGTATTCTAGAGTTATCGAAATGGGTCATGTACGATTTCTTTTATGATTTTTTAAAAGTTAAGTTTGGAAACGACTTCATATTAAACTATATGGATACTGATTCATTCATACTAACGTTCACTAACCGCAACCTCTTTGCTGAACTATCACGAGAGGAAATACTGGCTAGATTTGATACATCAGATTTTTCACCATCCAATCCATATAATATACCTCTTCTTAATAAAAAAGTTATAGGAATGATGAAGGATGAGAACTGCGGAAAGACGGTATCGGAATTTGTAGGCCTAAGACCAAAAATGTACGCTATGAAAGTCCACAATAGTGAAGAGGTAAAGAAATCAAAGGGTGTTAAAAAATCTGTTATGAAGCAGTACACCATTGACACGTATAGGGATTGTCTGTATAATCGAATAAAATATTATAATAGTATGTATACATTTAGATCGAGGAAACATGAGATATACACAGACAATATAACTAAAGTGTGTCTCAGTTTCCAAGATGATAAAAGATTTATACGGGAAGATGGTGTAAGTACGTATGCTTGGGGCCATTATAAACTTAAAAATGATAACGAAGATGAGGTAGCCCTTTCAAATGAAGAGAATTCTGTGATCCCAATGGAACTTGATTTTCATATTGAAAATGCAAGCGACAATTCTATTTTTGAATTGATCGCAAATGTAAATAGTAATGACGTTATAGATTTAGAAAATATAAGTATTTCTAATTTTCCTATAGAACTAGATGTAGATATAAATAACATACCTCCTGTAAATACAATAGACATTCCTTTAGACGGGGATGACAAATCTATTTTTGAATTGTTGGGGGATTCAGATAGTGAATATACAAATTGTGAATCTCTTGATTTTATACAATTTTTAAATTTTAATGAAAATGACTTTGTAAATAAATAAAACAATCTGTATATATTTAGTAAAACATTTATTGCTTAAAAATAAAAAAAAAAAAAAAATCAAACATTTAGTTTTATTTCACAAATATACTTAATATTAAGACATGGAAGTATAAATTACTTATACAGCTTTTCGAACAATTCCGGTTAAAGGTATGTACTCCACCAGGCGGTCATGAATGATTAGACAATATGATGAGGTGTTTTGAGGTATTGGGATATTGGTGGTAAATTCGATTTTTAAATCAATTGGTCCATTTTTCACAGCTTCATTTTGATTGCTTATATCAATAACGGTAATTGGATTATGTTTAAACGTAGTGTATGTTAGAAGCGGTTGTGGTTCCCTCATATAATATGTTTGTTGAAATTTGGCATACATGTCATAAAGTATTGCATAACGATTCTCTGAGAACTTAAGATTTAAATCATCATAAGGGTATGTCTCAGAATTCAAGTGTACTTTGATGTTCTCAAGATCACAGTGGATCAATTTGTTGTCTCTTTCAAACACTAAAGCAACATATCGCGGTCTTTCATGATTGGCAGACATTTTAACACTCCAATTATGTTTTAAACCACCAGAAAAAGTTGGATTAAAATAACAATCCCAACTACGAAACGCCAGCGGCAATGTTTTTCCTTCCTTTATAGTTTTCAGAAAACTAATTTTTCTATAATCAGACAAATGAATGTGTTGAACTTTCCACACAATGTTTGTGATTGTTAGTCGAATGTCTTCTTTCGAGTCAGTTGAATAACACACATTCATGTCATTAGCGCTCCGCAAGAGAATTAAATCATGCTTACTATTGCATATTACTTTGTTGAAGTCTTCAGCAAATCCCAGCAGACGATTCAAGGGTACACAAAAGTTAAAAGAATTAGTGGTTATATCACCATCTACGTTCCATCCTGCTTTACTCATAACATTACTTTCAAATGGATTTAAAGAAATCCAATTTTTAATTTTTGTTGACATTCCAAGATAGCGTGTACGATCAATTTCAACACCGTTTAGTTCGTAACGAATTTCGTCAAACATATACCCCACACAATTATTCCTCAGTCTAGCGTTTGATGAAATTTCTCCATTTGCTTTTCTCAAATGCCCTTCAATGTACAAATAGCTCTCTGATGGTAATATGTACAAATCTTGGTTTTGAATGCTTATACGTATTTCATCATTGTTTTTAAATGATTGAACATAAGGAACATAGCTGTGATAATCCCGCTTTATGATATTCTCATCAGAGAATGGCCGTTCATTTATATTAAGTACTTCAGACATTGGGTTTTACTTTTAATTTAAGTAATTTTAAAAACTCTTTATTTTCCTTAGTTAGAAATGGTCTTGTCGGCTTGACAACTTTATGTTGAATGCTTTTAGGAGTTTGTTTATAATTGTATTTATTGTATATAATCATGATTGTCTTGGTCTTATATGAATTCGAAGTGTGATTTCCTCTCCCCGAAAGTTTATCAGTCGACCTTCTTGATCTAGTATTAATATTTCAAGACGACTGATTTCCTTGACGTTCAAAGGCAAATAAATGAGGTTCAATGGTCTTTCATCCAATTTATAGCCTGGAGGAACATCTAAAGAAAATTCGTGAAGAATATGTGCAGGTGAGTTGTTCATAAATGATCCAGTTACTATATTGCAGTGTATTTGAACAGCATTCACCTTCAAAATATTTACTGGAAGGTTAGATATGTGCTTTTTTCCAGGCTCTAAAACTTTGTCTGTGAAACCAAAGAGTTTTGATATAGATTTCTCCTTATTGAAATAAATAGGATCATGAGATGATGTAATTTCTATTTGTAATGTATTATTATTGGCTTTAATATCTATAGATCTATTTATGTACATAGATCTGTACACTGTTTCCAAAAAGTCTGCAATATCTTGCAATTCATATGATCCTATAGGTATTTCTATTGTATCATTTCCAATATGAAACAAGTTATTATCCTCATCCACATTAGGAATTGAGTTGTACGATTGAAAATCAATTAAACTACACTCGTAATCATTATCACCTAATTCTATAGGTGGTGAATAATTTGAGCATAAAATTGAATTTCTACCCGTCAAAGTAAACGTTCTTGACATTGCAAGATACTAAGTTGTAATAAACAGTACACAATCGATTCTCATACTTTTATATTTTATTGTTAAATATCATTACAAAACATAATTTTTATCTATCCAAGAATTATGCCGATTTGAGAAACCCAACCATTTCACATAAACTTTGTCATCCTTTGATTTTAGAATTTTCTCCACCAAATATGTGTTTGGATATTTTGTAGGCAAAAGTTCTTCTCTATAAAAACATCCTTGTATTGGATTTCCTTCAAAATCTTCCAGCAGATATGTAGTGGGGTTGGTTATTTTTATCGTTCTTATTCTAAAAATTTCAGTTGTCCAGTTTGGAGTATAACCCTTTTCAAAATGATGTTTATATTTGCTGATGCGTACGTGATCACCGACATGAAGGCGTGGTTTTTTAAAAATTTTTATATGATTATAAACGGATTTCAGCAGTTTTTTCTCGTTTGAGGAATTAACTTGTATTGGAGCCATTTTTATCGTTCCGTGAGGGGTGCTATTATATTTGTCTAGTAAATCCCTATAGAGTTTGATCCATTGATAATTTCCATTATAACTAAACTCTTTCCACATCATTCCTTTTAGGGTTCTATTGAAACGTTCAATAATTGATGCTTTCAATACACTATATGTAGAATAATGATTTATTCTATATTTATGCATGAGTCCCCCAAATGTTTTATTAAAAAATTCTTTCCCATCATCGGTTTGCAAATTTTTCGGAATTCGTCCTGCTTTCAGTATTTTTTCAAATGCCGTACAAACTTCAGTGGCATTTTTAGACTTGAGCGCTTCAGCCCACGCATATTTTGAAAAGGTATCTATAACTGTTAGCATAAACTTGTATCCCTTGTTTGCTTTAGAATAGTTGCCCATTTCAACTAAATCAGCTTGCCATAGGTCGTCAATCCCCTTTATAATAACCCTCCGCCTCTTAAATTTTTTTCTTGCCTGAGTGTGGAGTTCATTCACTAATTCCCGTTTTTCCATTTTATTCAGTGTAATATTTTACAGTGGAGTGAGTAAATGTGTTTTTCGATAAAATACCATAAAGTTCGTTTAACGAGTGTTTTAAACGCGATATTTCTTCTCTTATATCGGAGCACTCTTGAAATACGTTTTTCTTTAATATTTCTTGTAGGTTCTTGTTTTGCGAATGTACGTATGCTTGGTTGACCGCATCCGATCCTCCCGCCGGGGGAGCCAAGTTTTTAATCCTCTTATTCTGTATGTCCAAATTGTTATCTTCATCAATATTGATTCCCAGCACTTTCGAAACATTTCCCTTTAGTGTGGCTGAAGTATATTTTAGATGATAATGATGACCAAACTTATCCACAGTCATTGATTTTGTAATTCAGGTGATTAATAAATTATATTTCCCTCTCTCAGTTCCTCGATAATAGAAACAATCTCATTAGTATGATTATTATTGCCGGCTTGTTGTGATGCTAACAACAGCTTTAATCGTTCTATTAATTCATTAGGATCGTCCCAGTATATATAGTTCGGTTTACCGAGATTTACTCTCATTAGGCCTTTGCCGCTGTGAGTATCATCCATCAAGTGTTTAATAACACGTTTATATTTATATCCTCTGTTGGATTTGATTCGTTCATTATGCTTAAAGTTTACTTTATGTGCATTAGAGTCCAGCAAAATTTTTTTATATATTTCTAGTTCTGACGCGTCATAATTTTTAGGTTTTTGATAAAATAGTAGTTCAAATAGACCCGGTGTAAATGCCCAATGTTGATTTCCAATAATTATTTTCTGATCATCAACTTTTAATGGTTTGTCCCCAAATTTCCATTCTCCGTGAATATCTTTGTGTGGTCCATATACCGTATCCAATTTTTTGTTTTTATTTAAAAGAGAAAGGTCAACGGTATCATCATTATCTGTATAAAATGTGTCATCTTTTGAATCCAACTCATCGGTTTCCTCCCATAAAATTTTAGGTTCTGGCTTAATATCGTGTTTCAATTTTTTAACGGGTGTACTCATAGCAAAATAATCTTTATATGATTCAATATTTTCCTTCTTAGGTATTGGTTGATTTGATGCATTAACATTCGTTAGTTTTAATAGTTTATGTATTGGCTCAGTTATGGGTTTGAATGTATTTTTCAATTCGTTTGTTTTTAATTCCTCCCCCCTTTTAATGCTTCGTAATTTTCTTTTCAAGGCATTTCGGGACTTAACAAGGCGCTTTAACATTTCTTCTTCCATGGTTGTGATTATACTAATAGCAGTGGTTATAATAGGGATTACTTAAATATATTTATGGTTGTATAAATGTGTGAAATCCCTTTCTATATCTTCCCGAGTTAATATCATCGTCTTTGCTAATTGTTAGAAATCCATATTTTTCCTTCCAGCATTCACGACATATTTCTTTAAATTTTTCAAAACTCATATCACTTCCAACATGATCATTGTATATATGTTTTAAATTTAAATCATCTTGTTTGAACATAATAATCATATTTGCATTATCACGTAGTAAATGTTTCGGAATCCTAGTATATGTCTGACATAAATAAAATGAATCGACATTTTTATGGCGACCCATACTGAAGTACGTTTTAATATTATTTTGTTTATCACAAGCCACATCATCGAATATGATAATTGAATTTGGCCTTATATCTTCTGGTTGTACAACATCCTCATTATTATTGAAAGTAAACAATCGCATACCCTTTATAGATGACATAAGTTTCTTGAGATATTCGTATTTCGGTTGATATAGAGATTTAGAATATATATAAACATTTTGGAATTTCAAACCATTTGGACTTTCTATCAAGCTTAGCATAACATTAGTCTTTCCACAATTCGAAGGGCCAACTATTAAGGCTCTTATAGAATTTGGTAATAAAACGCTGTGTCTGGGTGATTTCTTTTGTACGAAATCCGCATTTCGCACTGGAAGTTTTGCTTGTTGTTCAACTAATCTCATTTCGTAACTAATGAGTGATTTAATTGACAATGTCTATTTATCTTATTCTCTTGTTTACAGCAAGCTCAAAAAGTATAAAATGATTGTTTATAACAACAATAATGTTATTAGAAAGAGAACCGCTAAAGGAAGAGGACTTGTAAATAAATTAATTAATTCTTTACCAGTGGAACTTCATCTGCCGGGTTATCAATTCTGTGGCCCCGGAACTAAGCTCTTAAAACGATTAGAAAGGGGGGATAAAGGTGTTAACCCATTGGATGCTGCTTGCAGAGAACACGATATCGCTTATTCACAAAACGAAAATATTCATAAACGACACATTGCTGATCGTGAACTAGCTGAAAGAGCGTGGGAGCGAGTTAAAGCAAAAGATAGCAGCCTTGGCGAAAAAATTAACGCATATCTAGTCTCGAACATAATGAAAGCGAAAACAAAGTTTGGTATGGGTTTAAAAAATAAAAAACTTCAAAAAGCTACTGGTCAACAGATTTTTAATAAAGCACTCAAAAATGCGTCAATGAAACTTAAGAGTGTAAAACCAACTGATATTGATGATGCTATAAAAATAGCAAGAAAAGAAATTCAAAAAACTTTTCGCGGAAGAAAGGCAAAGGTAGTTGTACCACGAGTTATTAAGTTACCAAAAACTGGGGGATTTCTTCCCCTTATACCTATTCTAACAGGTCTAGGTGCTTTGGGTGCCCTAGCATCGGGTAGTTCAGCAATTGCTAATGCTGTTATGAATGCTAAAAATGCCAAACGACAATTAGAGGAGCAAACCAGACATAACAAAACTATCGAAGCTATAGCTATGGGTAAGGGTTTGTATTTAAAACCCTACAAAAAAGGTTTTGGTATTTACTTGAATAATACATCAAAAAACTAATTAAGCAACTACCCAACGCACCACTTACTGACAAACAAATATATTCTTTTGGAAAAAAATATATACCACGCTTTAGAGGTGTATATATGCGCAACAGATTACCTAAGATGCCATATAAGAAAGAGTGTGGTATTATAAATATGGATAATGATAGTGGACCTGGCACGCATTGGGTAGCATATTATAAATATGACAACATCATTGAATATTATGATAGTTTTGGAAATCTCCAACCTCCGTTAGAAATTTTATATTATTTAGGTCCAAATATTACTTATAATTATAAAAGAGATCAACACTTTAACACATACAATTGTGGACACCTCTGTTTAAAGTTCTTAATAGAAAAAGCTTATAAATACAAAATTTAAAACATGAAATTGGTTAGTTCAATTTAATACTTCCATGAAGATGCAATCAGTTGATAGGTCGGATATTGCGATAGTGGATTTTCAGTTTTGTCATGGAAACCACAAGAGCATATTTATGAAGGAGCTGGCGTTCATTTGTGGTACTTCTATTGTGCCTAATCATTTTCTGTTTCGTCCGCCTTTTAATATAAAAGAACTTACTAACGAAGCCTGCAGAACAAATGTATACTGTAAGAACTTTG